GTACTTTCTCTTCTGCTGTTAAACACAGGAATTTCAGAGGATGGAAGAGCAGGTAGCTGTCATCCTGAAGCTTCTGAAAAACACCCAAACATTTGAAATTCAGACAGTTTTACATCTCCGTGATGTGTTGACCATGACTGGATGCCAAGTACCTATCAAAGCCCCTCTATCACTCCCCCTTCTCAGTTGGACAGAGGAATGCAATGCAACGTATGATGCAGTGCCTGCATCCTGGTGGCACAGGATGAGCATCTCTGTGGAATGGGCACGTGATGAATATAGCCATTAGGTTTTCAACACATGAGCTTGAACAAAACCAGAGTCAAAGACAGAAAATAGTGGTTATATTTCTGGCACCTTCCTTTAAATTATAAGGGAGCAGCTAGAGCTGCTGCTTCCTCTTATCACCGAGTTTTGCTCACTGAAAAGATTGAAAAGTAAGAGAAATGAAGAATTATCCCCCACCTCCAGGTTGCTCTGAGCTTTCTGAATGGCAAAACCAAAACACCTTAATGCAAATATTCCTGCTTCTATCCTAAGCACAAGTAATTTATAAAGTCCAGCATGCTGTGTCTGGTTGAGGCTGCCCCATGCTGCTCAGTGGCATCCTGTTGTTTACTTGTGCCTACTTTTTATATGGATACACTTACCCTATGCTAGTACTGCTGTCTGCTTTTAAGACGCACAGTGAATGGCAATGCTGCTCTCTACATATCAAACACAATGCATCCCTTTAGATTTTTATAGTTCCCTGTGCCCCAGGTGCTGTTATTATCAGTCCTGACATCATTAATTCAATATGACAGGCCCTGTCTATCCATTTACATGAAATGGACAGGAGACTTGAATCATTTTATCTTCTAAGCACAGCAACATCTTTTATTTTAAAAAAGTGAATTTTCTGTCTCTGCATTTCTTGTTTTCTTCCTTGTCTAATATCTTGTACATTACGTTTATCCCCCAATCTCTTTACGCTGCACCTCCTGCTCCCTTTTGTTTGTTTTTCCTGTGTCTCTACCTATTTTTCTTCTCCCACCCCTCCCATTTTTGTACCTGTTCAGGGCACTGATCTAGGCTTATTGCAAGTAACTAAAAGGTTTCGTTGACCTTATCAAGCCTTTGGTTGGGACCAGATGCCACCTCTCCATCCATATACGCATCTTGTGCAGAATTCAGTGCATTTTGCTGCCGTAGCTGAGGTTACCTTGCCCTCAAGCAAAGCAGGCTTAGGAGAACCACAACAAAGAAAAAACACATCTTTAGTAAAAATACCAGGCTTTGAGGTACAAGATTAAAGGCGAGGTCTTAAAAGTGCCAGGAGATTTAAAATACAATTCTCTCTTAAACGGAACAAGTCTGTTCTTTATCTACTTAACCTCTTCTTTATCAACTCCCTGTGAGGTGTCCCTGCACTCAGACCAAGAGTCTAATGCTTCAGTTAGAAGTTCAGTTACCTCCTATGGGTTCAGGGGAGAAATCTCAACCTGAACTTTCTGTCTGTGGTGTCTCAACTTCAGATGCCAGGGATTTAGTTTTCACAGTAGCTCTCCTACATGGCTACCTGCATTTATACATCTTTAGAGCTGAGGATTGCATAGCTATAGCAATATTCTTGATGGATTATAATGATAATATTTAAAGCTAACACTCAACAACAAATTCACCTAGGGATAAATTTACTCTGCTTGGAACCAGTCACATGAGTTATCTTCTCCAGGGGCTGAATGGCTTGAATGATTTCGTTGTATTCATCTTACTGGACCATGTGGCATTATTGTTGTACATTGGAAGGACAGACTGCCCAAGTACTTTCATCTTTGGGCAATAGTAAGTGCTGAACACCTTGCCCTGTATCATTGTGCTACTGTTTCTAGCTATATCTTAGAAAAGTTTAGTTAGTAGGGATCAGGGTAGCAATTCTTCCACTAGCGCTATAGCTTCTCCAGAGTCATTTTACAGATACCTGAGGAAGTACTACTAGGGTCTCACTGGAGAAGGTCAAATGTGTTTGTTTTGTCTTCTTTTGCTATGTTCCACTTCATAGCTGTGAACTGCCTCAGAAACTGCCATTACCTATCCCCTGGTACACATCAATAAACGTCCTGTTTGTATAAAGGCAGAAGAAGAGTCAGGGCTATAACAAAAGTATCAGTCTTGTGCACAAGAGAAATGCAGTTTAATTATTTTGAATACATCTGGGTTGAAGATATGTACCAAATAGAGAATTACAGGTAATCTACATAGAAATGCAGAGGTGGGGCTTTCTTGTTTGAGTTCTTTTTGGAAAATGTTTTCCTAATTTACTTTGAGCTGCTACTCGTCCTATCGAAGGTGACAGGTAGTCTTGCTAGTGCTGCAAAGGAGAAAGGACACATAAAACATTTAAAGCAAATATAATAGCTTGGAACTGTATTGTAAGAAATGCCTTTGATTTGAACAGTGAATTTCATTAAATCCTGCCAAACATTCAAAGCCAGTCTCAGCTTCCCAGTCCCTTTATTTGCTATCAGCACTTGAAATCAGCTTAATATTTTACCTTCACCCTTGGTTGCAGAAGCATAATGGACAAAACCATTATCTGTGAATGCCATCACTGTTAGGAAAGAGAGGAGAAAGGAAGGGATAAGGGGAACAGGGCTGGCAGGGAGCAGGTATCTGTAAAAGTAAACAGACTTTAACAGTGTGATAGAAGGAGGGAGCAGGATAGGAAAAATCAGCCTCTCATAGTTTAATTAAAGTTCTGCACCTCCTTAAGAGCTGTGGATACAGGCTGCCAGGCTGAGCGCTAATACTTAAAGCTTGTTTAACTGAGCAGAGATGTTAATCGTTGAAGGGACAAAGCTGAACTTTGTCTCCCAGCTCTTGTCTACATGCAGAGATGTTACCTTCCTTCCCTTCAATACATAAGAGCATTCAAATTACGGTTTTAGAGTTGGATTACAGTTACTAAACTAATACTAAGCAACCAGCAGCATCTGTGAACTGCGGGAGAGGGGACTGGCTTGTCATTGGGTCACCTCTAAGAAAAGTCACAGTTCCTACCAGAGCAGCAGAGTTGGTCAATTGCATTATGGACAATGAAACCTGTCTGAAGAGCTGTGAGCCGCAGAGTTGTTGGTGTGCTGTGTGAAAACTGTTTGCATGTATGAGTAAATACATTGCAGTCCGTGGGCCACACTGTCTACTTGGCTTTAATGTGTGTTAATAGACTTGATTGGAAGTTTTTCTCCCATGCTTTTCTAACAGATCACGAGACTTCTTTATGTGTTCTGAAGGAATAAGAAATTTTTTTTACAGATGAATTTCTAAACTCAGCCCAATGACTCTTTATGTGGAGCTGTGCCAATTGAAAGGCAACTGTGTAAGCACATAAGTTCTTGGCAGAAATACAGCTGCTAATCTCAGTTGAGCCCCTGTGGTCCTGAAAATCAGGAGAGGTGAGCCTAAAGGTTGCTTTATCTGAAGAGCCTGTAAGAAATGTCTGGTTTTCATGTAGAATTTTTGGCAGAAGCATCACAGCAGCATTTGCTGTCTTCCCATGTGTTAGCTGTTGCTAATGTGTCCTGATTGTTGAATGAGTAATATGGGAATTATGGATTATAAGGAAAAAAGGGAGTTCAGGTAACAATGAAACTAGAGTAAACTTGGAGTGGATCTTGTGATGTTGCTAGAAACCCCAAGATGGCATTAGAGACCTTGCTTTTCTATATTAAAAATGTATGAGATATTCTTAGTGACTATTTGTTTTCTGTTCTTAACTGGTTCTCCATTTTTTTTGTTTTTTTTTTTAAAAGCATTCCTGCTTTACAACACTCTTTCTTCAAGCATCACTTGCAAGGCATTGATAATGCCTGTGATACTACACATGATACACCCTAGTTGCAGTGTGAGGCTCTGCAATACAACAACAGACCCTATCCCCAGGACTACGTTTGTACTTCATTTTGTTCTAGGAGGCTGGAACAGCAAAGCTGGATGTAACTCCATGGCTAGGAATTCATCCAACACTTAGGATTATTTTATAAGGTTTCTTTTGAAGCACAAGCCGGATGGCATTTACATTGCCACCAGGAGAATTCTAGTGTTGAACTGGATGGTATGGAGATGATGAGGACCTACCACAATATCTCAGATGCTGGAGGGTTGGTTTCTGAATTCTGTCAGTGCACTGTTGTTCTGAATGAAATTGCAAATCCTTTGAGGAGCATGAGCAGACTCTGTTCTGCACATAGTCACTAACAAGGGAGATTAGTTAGATTATGTAAGATTGCACAGTGATGTACTGCTCCATACAGCCAAGTATCCTGAACAATCTTCCACTAATCACTGAGTCGGTAACAGAAGATGTTCAAGCCAACTAAGGGAGATGTTTTCTCAGTGCAAATCTGGGATCCTTATTTAGCTTTTTATTCAGCCTTCGCAGTGAAGCTAGGTAATTGTTCTACATAATGATGTAGCATGCATCAAGATCTTCCTGATGTGCTTCAGATAGTGGCATTTCTTGTGAGTGGAGAAGCTTAAATAAGATATCCAGCTCATCTCATTTAAGTGCATTCATATTTCAGACCGGTCGAAGAGATTCAAGTGCCTGTCTTCAATTAGAATGAGTAGGAGTTGTATCTACTTGTTTGCTGTGGAGGTTTTGAGAAGCCTGTGCTCTACATGAGCTGGGTGAATTTCATAGTACAGAATTTAGAACATTTCAGAACTCTTTGTTTCTGAGTCGTCTTTTGATTTGTACATACTTGGGTAAAGGAAAAACTGCATTTATTTTCAGGACTGCAACCTTGGTAGGAAAGGAAACGATAAAATTCATATACTATAAGAACTTCAGAAATATGACACAGGCTGTTGATTCATTCCAGCCCAGTGTTCAACCCCTTTATATCTGTGTTCTAACTGGCATTCCCTGACCTTGCACCAGGGCTTTGCAGAATCAGCAACTTCTTGGAACCAGCTGTTGTTTTGCTAGTTTGTGATGTGTTGCTTTCTGATTTCAGCCACCGTTGTTCATTGAGTGGGGATGATCTGAACAGGCAGTGGTTGGCACCCAATTCCCAGCTTCATCCAACAATTTATCATGCCAAAGGTCTTCTTTATTACCTACGCAGCATTGGCCGGGCTCCTCTGGTGAGTCTCTTCAAGGATTTTCTATGAGTTACTGTATATGGATTACTCATTGTAGTTGTGTGAACAGTCTTGTTTTAGAGCTAGACTGATTTGGAAAGTATTATGTGCTGTTATACTTTCATTTTACAGAAGTGTTTTGAAAGTGTTGGATATTTATTACTTACTGAAACTTCTAACCAGCATCTCCAAATCTCAGAATCTCTGTGCACCTGAAATATAAATGAGAAAATGAGTTTCTTAAAGCTGTTTAATATCCTCAAAGTACTTCATCTAAGCAAAATATTATGAAGAGGTTATTGCTATCTTCATGGCAGTGATAGGTGAAATTCCTCAAAGACTTAGTCTGAAAGGACTGTGCAAAATCCCATGTTGGAACAACCCATGAAATCACAAAAAAAAACCAGGAAGCAGCCCTCAAAATGTCTGAACTTCCATGCTGCTTTGGTAGTGGGAAGAAAATATCTGATTCAGGGGTTACCAGAAATTCATGAGAGATGGGTCTTGTCTCAAACCTTCAACTGGGATAGCACTGGGATCCATCCCAGTCGCTCAGTCTTGCTGTCGAGGAGAATTGAAGTGTAATTCTGAGATCTTAAGGGAAAAAAACACAGGAAGGTTCAAATCTTAACAAGCAGATGTGGATGCACAGACTTCCAGGTTGGCTGATGGTAACTACAGTCAGGCAGGAAACTTCCAAAGGCACCAAATTTCCTCTGAGTTTGATAAGAAAAAGCCCTAGGCAAGGTGAAAATGTCTGTGAGCTCCTTTAAATGAATTCTTATGGGAATGCTGCTTTTGGTCAATAAAACAGCTCTGAAATTCAACCCTGCATGCTAAGGAATATTGTGGAAATTCAGCTCAGTGGTGAGCTTTGATTCAGAGCAATGTAGGATCAGTTTCGTTTTACCCTTCTATTTACTCTCTGGCCTTTTTTAATATACAACCATCATTGTCATACCCAGGTGCGTAAGGTTGACCATTCAGCTGAACGAAGGGAAACTACTGATCCTATCATCTCCCTCACTCACAGGTTGCATGTCAGACTTGGTAAACTGATTTTTCTTAGCCTTTGAGGAGTACATTGATTTTAGTTATACATGCTCCAAAATGCCTTTTCCTTCCTGCAGAAGAAAGCTGTGTTTCTTGCTGGCTTTTTTTTCTTTTGTTTGGGGGGAAGAGTTTGAAGAGTTATTTTGTTGGATTTTTTTGCCTCCAACATCCCATGGAACCCAAGTTCACCGACAGCGAAGTGATCTCTGTGAAGTGATTTAGTTTCACTTATTCTGGGGATGCACGAGCAGTTTCTTCAAGGCAAAGAAAAGCTTCTTGAAAGGAGAAAAGAAAGAACTTTAAAGGTAACAGCCTTTCAAACCAAAGCCGTATTAATTGCTAGGTTTGATAGGCAACACCTTACTAAGTGTTTTTTGTTTTCTTGTTGGCTCTGGGAATCCCAGTAAGACAAGAAAGTGGGTGCACTGTGACACTGCACATCTCTGCAGCGTGGGATCTCCTTTCAACTGTGGGAATGTTGGAGAACTTTTCTCTGGGAACAGCCAGATCTGATGGGGAGAGGAAAGTTTCTCTCTCCTTGAGTGTTTGTGGTGAGAAATTGCTATGGTTTAGAAATTACAGCTGACAATGCGCTTGCAGCATGCAACAGGGAACCTGCATCTTGTACAAAGTCTGAGCTGCAGTGAAGAGCAGGATGCCTTAGAAGGGGGCAGAAAGAGCTTCCTAGGGACCAGGAAGCACTGAGCAAAGTTTGCTGCCTTTCAAAGGCATTATATCAAGCTTGGGAACAAGCATCTGCCTGCCAGAACGTAGCTTATTGCAAGGGGAAAAAGCCTGGGCATGTCAAGCTCAAAATTCTGAGATTCAAAGCCCTGTCACAATGTTATTAAGGAAAAAAAAAAAAAAAAAAGAGACTTTGCACCAAAAACAAAAGAGGAATTTCACAATGTTCTGGTTTGCAGCAGATTTTCTGGCTTCCTGTTTTCTATTTTGTTTTTCTTTCATGTGAAAAGGTGTCTGGTTCTGTGACTCATGAGGAGAGTTGTTTTTGAGTTAGAAAACAGTCCTTACCTTTAGGATGATCAGTGCTGGCAAATCACTTTAAATAGATAAAGATGTGCATGTGTATCTTGAGTCATATCCCGGCAAGCATAAGCCTTGGGAGTCTGGCTTGTGTCTATCAGTGTTCCAGTCATGGAAGAACACACTGAAGAAAAAGGACTATAGGTCCCAAGTTTGCTTATTGTTTGCCCAGACATGTCCCAGGAAGAATTCTGTACTGGGTGCTCAAACTACAAAATACAGATTCATGAATGGTGGGACATTAAGCTACCCTGTAGTGTGAAAAAAGGCAGAAGAGTTCATTATGAAGAATAATTGAGTATAAATGCTGAAAGTGACTGCAGAATCTCACAAACATAATTAAAATATAGCTCTATGAAACCTGAAAATAGAATGAAAGAATTTTGAGCAGCACTGATGCTTCCACTTGTGGAAGCTAGGGGCAATCAGTGAAAGATCCCATGGCCTGGAACAGCAGCCGCGTTACAGAACCTGGCTTTGATGGTCCTTTACCAATAAAAGAAGTCTCATTCCAGGCCTGTCACTGAAGACTCATCTGCAGATGGTTTCTTGAAGTGCAGAATTATAGACCTGCAGCCCATCAGGCAGCCCTGCTAGCTGGCTATCTGATCATCCCTGTGTGGTTTCTGATACTTAAAGTAGTATTTTGAGCAGATAACATATTCTGTCTTTTGTGTGTTGGTAATTCTGTAAATTGGCAGGTAATTGATACCCAATTGAGCTGGCTTCTCTGCCTTGAAATGAGACGAGAGCTATAAAATCCTCTTTGATATTCATAGGAATAAATTCTAGGTGGTGCTTGTGGTTAACCTAAGCTATGACTGTGTATTGCTGATGGCTTAGATGAAATACCAGCTGGAAAAATGTCTGTCATTAGGAGGGCCAATAAATGCAGCTCTTTGGAAGGAGCTATTACAGGGTAATTACACATGGTTCAGAGTTGCTTCTAGTGTGCAGGGGCTGCGTAAGCCCTGCAAAATGTGTACACAGCCTGAGGGAGTTGAATCTTCAGGGTCTGTGCACTGCTGGCTATTTTCCTTTGCAAATGATGCTGGTTGTAGGTTTGCACCAATGAGCAGCTCTCAGACTGCCCTGTTTGTCCTTCCCTTTCTGCCTTTGTTGTGTCCAAGGGTATAAGTAAAGCAGGAGCAGTTGTCACTGGGTAAGTTGCTGTTCATATGCTTGAGGTGTGGAAAGTGTGTGCTGCAGGGATAGGGATGTAAGGATCCAGAGCCCTGCAGGGAGCTAGAGGTGAGTGGTGGTGCAGGAAGGAAAGTTGATGCATCAGAAACCAAACGAAAGAGCAGTGTATAAGCTGTGAGGTATGTGTAATTGTCCTCCTAATTAGGATCAGTTTTTTATGCATGTGACTTAACTTCTAGAGTATGCCAACCTACTGTTCGTCAGAGGAGCTGAAAGTATGTACATGTTCAGTTCCTAGATAATTAAACTCCCTGACTTGCTGAAGCTAAACTTAGTTACTGTATAGCTGGTAGATAAACATACTAGGGTAAATCTTGCCCTAACAGTTGGTGGAAGAAACTTATCTATTCCATCTGTTTCTCCCCTGTTATATATGTATTTATGTATGAATGCCTATATATGGGTGGGAGTGTTGAGCTGCTGGAGGGTAGGAAAGCTCCACAGGGGGGTCTGGATAGTCTGGATCCATGGGCTGCGGCCAATGGTATGAGGTTCAACAAGGCAAGCGCTGAGTCCTGCATTTGGGCCACAATAACCCCATGCAATGCTACAGGCTTGGGGAAGAATGGCTGAAATGTTGCTCAGAGGAAATGGACCTGGGGATATTGGTCAATAGCAGCTGAACATGCACCAGCTTGTCCCCAGGCAGCCAAGAAGGCCAACCGCATCCTGGCTTGTATCAGACACAGTGTGGCCAGCAGGACCAGGACAGAGGTTGTCTCCCTGTACTCAGTACTGGTGAGGCTGCATCTTGAATCTTGTGTTCAGTTCTGAGACCCTCACTACCAGAAAGACATTGAGGTGTCAGAGTGTGTCCAAAGAAGAGCAATGGAGAGTTTGGAGCATAAGTCCAATTGAGTTGCTGCTGAAGGAATGTGGTTGTTTAGCATTGAAGGGAGATTAGAGTGAGGTGGGGGTTGGTCTTTTCTCCTAAGTAACAAGTGATAGAACAAGAGCAATCTGCCTCAAGTTACACTGGGATAGGTTTAGGTTGGGTATAAGGAAAAATTTCTTCACTGAAAAGGTTGCCAAGCACTGGAACAGGCTATCTAGGAAAGTGGTGGAGTCACTACCCTGGAGGTATTTCAAAGACATGTAGATGTGCTTAGGAATATGATTTAGTGGTGGACTTGACAGTTCTGGGTTGGACTTGATAATCTTAGAGATCTTTTCCAACTGAAACAATTCTACAAGTCCATTTTTTTTTAATCAGCATTTCTCCCCCATCTCTCTCTATATTGATCCATAATTCTTCCCTACTTTCCTATACCCATTCTTTTGTCTCTGACATAAGCCCTGGAAAACGGTTTTAGTTAAATCTTGAAGTTCCTTTCTACTCAGTGGTGAATACTGGTTTTAAATGAATCAATTCCTTCTCTTTAGAAATTCCTGTGTTTTCATTGACAGATTTCTGAATATTCCTGGTAAAGACATGGAGAATATATGTAACAGCAGTGTGTACATCGACTTCGTATCTCAGAGGGCACTGAGATTGATTATTCTTTCAGACTTGGGTCAATATGTATGTCTTGGGTCATTAAATTGTGATTTTCATTTCTATGGGAGTCGATATCTATCTATAAAGGCAATCAAAACTTCCGCTAAAACTGAGAATGTGCCTTGCACCTAGTTTATATGGCAGCTGACATGAGAGAGATGGATTAGATAGACAGATAGATTAGTGTGGAATGAGATTATTTGCTGTGAAGATAGGTCATGTTCTGTGCTCAGCTTACAGGAATTCATGAGAAGATCTGACAGCACTGTGCATTACAATTGTGCAATTATATTTTCCTGAAAATTATGTAGCACAGGTTTTGAATTTCAAGGTGACAAATGATGATTGTTTGATTGGGAAAGCACAGATTTCAAATCTCATGAGGATGAAGCTGGAGTTTAGAAGTAGAAAGTGCTTGACAAATTACTCTGTTATAGCGTAAGTTACCGTGAACACTTAGGTTCCTGAGTTGCCATGGATTCTTCCACAGGTGTCATGTTTACTTCTGCTACAGACAGAAACGCACTAGTCTTGACTTCAGATCCCTGTGATCATGGCAGATTGAATAAATAAAACAAGATACAACTGACTAACAGAGTTTGACACAGGGTATAGGCATGGCCCAGAGTCTAAGCTGCTATGAAGAGACCTGAGAAAACACGTTAACACCCCCATAGTCGTATAGTGTTCACTATGAAGAATCAGGAAGCTTTTTCTTTTTCAGTGCTCAAGAAAGTGCTACTTTCTCTCCCTAGGTATTCTGTGACTACCATGGGCACTCACAGAGAAAGAACGTGTTTCTTTATGGCTGCAGCATTAAGGAGACCTTGTGGCAAGCAGGCTGCACGGTTGACACATCTGTGATCACAGAAGATGTTGGCTACAGGGTAGGTCCATTTTGTTCCTCTATGCAATTACTGGCTTGTATGTGCATCTACACAGCTAGCTAAGATAAGGCCAGATCACAGATTTTGGAGATGGGTGCAAACTTCCCTTACTCCAGAGGAGTAATGGTCCAGTGAAAGTTTCAAATCATGTATAATATCTTCATGTACCAGATATTGTCAAGAATATTGTTATATACATAACACTCTTTATTCCCTCCACCCACAATAATAAGAAAATAAGTAGGAAGTATGTAATGGTGACTGAGTAAATGACAATGCCGCTGTCCTACTCAGTTGAATTTCTTCATCACAAAATGTTCCTGGTCCCACTGAAAACGCCAGATAATTCAGTGAGTGTCAAACAGATCTAACATAGTGGAGTTATATCCACAGCAAGTGCTTGATGTTACATCTAGGGAATGTTTTCTGGGATTAGAAAGAACAAAAGATAAAAAATCTGGTTTATTTCTACTTCATGTGAATGTACCACTTATCAAACAGTTTTCTGGATTTCCTGCCCCTCTCTTTTTGTTTCTGTTTAGATTATATTTTTGTCTTAAATGACAAAGTTTTTGAGAAAGAAAGAATCTTATAAGCTCTAATTATAGTCTTTTAAATGTTCGCTTCATAAAACAGTAATCGTGGTCTTACACTGATTATAGAGCTATAGCTTGATTCACCCTGAAAGAGGCTGAAAAGTCTTTTTCAGTTTATAGATGTATAATTTTTGCTGTCTCAGCACAAATACTAATTTGTGCTTGGCAATACTAATCCTCCCATAAGGATGCCACGTCTTCTGTCTTCATCTTACAGCATTGTACACTGAACACTGAAACTTTACTGTCAAAAAGTGCTCCAGCGTTCATCTCAAGGGCTCCCTGTGGCAAACACTGTTTCACAAAGAAAGCAGGCAGGGTACCTACAGTCAGGATGTCTTTTGCTGTATTTGTGTTCAGGGGGTTTGAAAAGGCTGAGGATGGTTTGCTGTTACACAAACAGAATTCAAATGGTGCTCTCAGCATCTGGAGCCTGTCTTGAATCTCCAATGAAGACAAGCTCCAAGGCTTCCAAGAATACTCCGTAGTAGCCCATGAGAAAGGTCTTGTGGTTCATACCCTCTTTTGCACAGAACAGGAGATGGGTGTCTGCTGCTGTTCTTGTCTATGGGTCACCCTCTTCATTTGTAGGCCGGGGAAACTGAATATATAGAACAGCACATCTGCAGCTTCAAACCTCTGCCTCAGACCTGCTTCCTTGCAGCGTCTGCACAGGTTCCTCCCCTGCCTCCTGGAGGTAGCTGGGGATTAATGTGGCCTCCATGATTGATTTTTCTCCCCAGTAGCAGGAACCAAATACCTCAATAAAATGTTTTTTGGAACAGCTTTTGCCTCATAGGTCATAGACTCAGCTGTAGCCCTTGGCAATATACAGGAATAAGAGTCTTCATTACCTCCTAATATTTGGTGGCCTTGCATGACTTGAACAGCACCCGCATCTCAAAGCTCAGCTTAAAGATTTGTCGTTTTGATAGCCATTTCAGACTCTTTGAGAGCAATCTCTGCAGGGACATCAGAAAAGAAATATAATTCCATTCTATCCTAATGAGATTGGAGGTTTATGGACAGAGTCCTATGTGAGGGGAGCAGCTTCCTTTGCTGTGGTACACGCTAAATCCATCCATGTGTGAGAAATAGAACTCAGTCACACTGCTGCGTATTATCATAAAAGCATCCTTTAAAAGGGTGTGTTTTCACTCTTTAAAAATATTCTATTGAAAGGTAATTAATGAGAAGAATAAATATAGAAGTAAGAAGCATTAGCGTGAAATCCAGTGAACGCTGGTAAAATGAAAAGAATATTAAATTCAGATTTGCTAATGCTCCTAAATGAGTCCTGCGTACAGAGACATTACTGTTACCTGCCAACGTTTTTATTTAATTAAATGTAAGAGATTGATTATGCATATGATTTCAGTTGTTTTGAAAAGCTAAAGTGGATTAGGAGTCTGATTATTGTATTTGATAGTATATATTGACAAAAAAATCTGAATACTGGTTCAGGTAAGGGCAGAGTGAAAACAATCTGAACCTTCACATACACTTTAACTGGATCTCATGGCTGTGCTGAGGCTTATAAATGCCTGGGTGATATGGCTGTTCTGCATTTCTTTCAATTCCTGTTCAACCCAAATCCAGGAAAACATGGAAGCATACTATTTTGTGATCACCATGCAGCAAGTAGCTGAAGGCAATTGAAGGCAATCCGGAAGTGTTAGATGCTTTCTCTAATGCAATCAGTCAATCTTAAAGATCTTTCTCTTTGGCATGCCTACAGGAAAAGGGGTGAGATAGCTCTTAGTAGCACTCTGGAGGTCTTAAGCGTGAGGCTTGTGGTGGTCTCGAATTGAAAATGAAATCTCTTGCTTTGTTCCAGTTTTTCCACCTCATTTTTTCAGCTGAAAATGGACCTTCTAGGTCTTCGGGTCTTTACCTTCCACAGCTGGTAAAGTCCATAGACAGCTGCAGCCATAGCATACTGAAAACCCAAATTTACTTTTTTGTCATGGAGATGTGTATGGTTAAGCTGTTTGCAAGAGATGCTGAAAAATAGTTTAGGCCAGAGGTTTATCATTCACCTTGAACACGTTTTAGGAAATACATTATTCTTCCACTGAAACCAAATATTCCCTTACATGAATGTAGTTTATGCGCTATGAAGTAAAGCTCAAGAGAACAGAACTACACTTGCTCAGAATCAGTCAGTGAAACTGGTTGTTATTGGAAAGTTAAATTAGCTGGTTGGCTTTCAGCACCTAAAATGAATGAAGTTCAAGGGTAAATGCCATTAGCAATAAGCAGGAACTCCTTCTGTGTGATTCCATTCAGTTCAGATGTTTAAGAAAGCTGTTGTCAAGGAAATAATGAATGTCCTTATTTTGCTTGCTCTTCTTTGGATGGATTGAATGGTCTTTTGGCATATGTTGTGCTTAGTATGCCAGCACTAAAATTTACACACACACACATACACATGCACCTAAAGGTCCAGCTTCTACATAGAGCACACATAGTGTTGATGTATCTTGTGTTTGATTTTATAGAGTGTAAATGCAACACATTTAGTGCTGTGTAATGACTAAGTGTTGCCTCTGCACTGGTGGAAATATTTGATACTGCAGTGTATCGGGAGTGTTTATAGACTTTGTTTTTGGGAAATATGATTTCTAGAATAAGAAAACCACTCAGCGTTAAGATGTAATTTTAACTGGGTTTTCATAATTACTTTTTGGTGTGATTTTTCTCAATTAAATATATAAAATACATTGTTTGGACTCAGATGAGGATATTTTCATTTGTTGCACAGTGGAAGTTAGTTAAATGTTGAGCTCTACTTTTGTATAATTATGTGCAATCTTCTGTGAGAATGTGCATTTTTTTTCTCTGCTTTGTGCTACCTTCAGACAAAACCCCTCCCACAACTGAATCCCATGTCAAACTGGTGATGCACGATGGGAGGAAATATAGGATAGCTAGAGAGGGAAGAATGGGAATATAGGGTACTAAATTATGACTGCAGACCTCTGCAGCACAACAAGAAGGTGTAAGTTAATGTCAAAGAAGCTTGAAAAGGAAACTGTGACTTCAGCAGTCCCAAACTGTTGGTTGTGAAGACGTTTGATTTAGAATTCAATACAGCAAGTGTACTGGGTATTTTGCATTTTAGTCTTTGGAATGAAACAAATGCTAAAATGAGAGGATTTCACATGGGATGGACATAATGCACTGGTTGGAGCTCTCAGTAACACTGTCTATAGATAGATTTGATTAAATACACATGAAAAAACGCAGGTCTCTGTATATATCTTTATGATCTAAATGCATGCACATCTGTTCAGTGCATTCTGATATTTTCTCATAGACTCTTCCTAAAATCCTGGATAAAGTGGCCCCTGCATTTGTGATGAACAGCTGCAGCTTCCTGGTGGAGAAGTCCCGGGAGTCAACAGCCCGGGTGGTGGTATGGAAGGAAATGGGTGTGTTGAGGAGCTACACCATGGAGAGCACCTACTGCGGCTGCAGCCACGGTCTCTACAAAGTGAGTTGATCCTTCAAAGAACCTTGTGCTGCCACCCTGCCAATACACATCTCATGAGCATGTAGCCATTGTCTTGATACTTAGTGTTGTCTGTTCTCTTCACACCCGTGTAGTCATGAGTCTGGGTTTCTCCTTAGTGAAATTTTTCAATGATCCCTCTTACCTTCCATGTGAGAAAAGTAGAGTCCTTGCTCTGAAGTTTCATTCAACACTGAAATAAAAAGAAACTCTAGTCTGAAGCCAAAAGCTTATGGAAGGAATGTTTTTGAGATGATAACAGGGCACTTATCCTTTGTAAGGGCATTCATAGTGTTGGCGTGTCTTATGGACGCCTTTGAGCCAAGGTCTAAGGTAATCAACTTGAAAGCTGTTGGTACCAAGCTCTTTGGTACAGGCTATCTACCTGAGCATTCACCCGGCTAAATTTAAGACCCTAAACAGGAAATCCTGCATTTGGATTTGCCTGTTACTAACAGCCAAAGGTAGCTGATCTAAGGCTAGTTTTGACAGGAGTCCATGAGCTCAAGGTATGTGACTGTCATCGAGACAGACCTGAACTCCATATCTAATGATATTCCAGTCTTGGTAAGAAGGGCAGTATGCATCTGCGACACCAGTCTGAGATCTCCTGGCACTTTTTAAGTACACAGGATGAGCTCTGATAATTGCATTTGCATGATCATAATTCTCTGTTCACATAAATGGTGAATTCTTTCTCGTTCCTTTGCCAAACCTGTTGCTTTCATTGAAAGGTTTCTATATTCCACCTCATTTCTCCCACTAGGGAGCAATCCTTATCTATACAGCACTATTAAGCAGTTAAGGATCCTGAAAAACCCTTAAGGAAAGAGCCATTATTACAAATAACAATTAATTAATAAGACATTCAAATAATTACCTTTGGAAGCTCTATACTAATCCTTTTACTTCTGAGTAGAAGGCAGCCAGGAAGTACTGGGCTGCTGTTTTAACCATGCTCTTCTGTACACACATCAATTCCAAGACGGGGAAAGGTAGAAGAAATAAAACTGCAGACAGTTTAAAGAAAGAGAATATAATTGCCTTGGGCATTACATCTAACACTCCTGCTCCTGAGAAGTGCTAATGGTTTTTTAATAGGCACCACAGGTCAAAATAGCAGTTTTGAATCTTTTTTAGACGGTGGGGGAAAATCTACCTTGACTAAAGTCAATGACAAAACTCCTAGTGATCACCATAGAGGAGGATTTAGCTGATTTTCTAAATAACCTCAGTAAGACCTAAGCCCAGTGACACACCAGATTGTATCAATATCTAATGATTCGCTCTCCTTCAGCATCTGTGAGGTCTTTAACCCAAATTTGCTTAATTTGTGCCATCAGATGCTTGAAATAGTAGGAAGAGAACACTAAATGCCACATTCAGATGTTGCATTTAAGCACTGTGCCATCCATAGGGGCCCTGTATTATACAGTAGAGGTATAAAAAATAAGCAGAAAGACCTCATGCAGGTAGTTCAGGGTTCTTCTTTTGAAGAAATCCTTTAAAATGTGTGAAATGCTCTATATTCTTTCTTGCCCTTTTTTTTCATCACTGATCACAACCACAGACAGCCCCTGAGGACAACAGCAAGTTGTCATAAGGGCTTATGACTGGTGACAGGATCCAGTGTTCTCATGGCCCATGAAGAAGAGTGTGTAACCTGTAAAGCAGTTCTGAAATCTCCATTCTGAACACCCTGAAAACCTGTGTCCCGGCTGGATCATTGGATTATTTTTAAGAAGTCAATTTTGTTTTACTTTGCTTAGGATTATCATGCATTGCAAAGATGGAGGATACATAAATATGCCCATGGAGGGGCATTTCTTCACCATTTTTTCATCATAAAGTTAATACACTTCTTGCAGTATTCTCTGTTTCAGGAAGTTTTAATGTATTTCCACTCATTTTTTCCAAGTATGCTAAATATTCAACTTCTTAGTATTAAAATGGAATATGATTCTTTATGTTGACATTTATACTAGAGCTGCATAAAAATACAAAACCTCCCTCAGAAAATTTATACTAATATAAATTATTTTTCAAACAATTAATATTAATCCTCTCTCCTTTAGCAGTTTTTCGAGTTGGTTCTTTCTTGCTTGTTTGCTTACATTTAGAAGTGGATTACTTAGGGTATGGACTTGACAGGCTGACCTGAAGGTTTCATTCCATAATACCGTTTAATACTCAGCTTCCATCTATCAAGGGAAAAGTATTCATTAGTTTCTGGAAGCGCAGAAATTATTCCTGTAAACTGGAAATTAATTGCATAAAAGGTCATGTTTTTCTAGAGGCTTCAACCTGAGTTTTTCACTGTTGTACCCTCAAGTTGATGTGTGCGTAAACAATAGACTAAGACTAATGCTCGGGCAGGAGATGTCAGCATCCTGTATTTAGAGCTTTCTGTTATTTGTGTTTAACTGTGAATAGACTCAGTTTCTTAATTGCAGAGGTTTATTTCCCTGCCAAGAGATAGATCCAGATTTCCCTCTGGACAAGCATGCCCTTATGTTTTTTATACTTTTATACATTAAAGTACAGTACAAACAGCAGCTAGGATTTAGAACATCTCATTATATGCAGCAGAGGCTCCTAAGTCCAGCATCATTCAATGATGAACCAGTGAATCAGTGGTCAAACTTCTAATAGCGCTCAGCCTACCTAGATCATGGTCTTTATCTGCCTTCCTGCTTGTAAGTGATGAAAGTAATTGATTCAAGTAGCTGCTTTGCTGGTTATGAGCACAGATACAGTGCTTGGAGCTGCACAGACACATCTGATAAGGATTGTGCAAAAGATTTAAGAAGAATAAGAAAGCTTTACAGAGGCTGCAAGAGGTTAAAATGGGAATTCCACAAGACTGATAAGTGTGCTTCCTTGTCAAGGAAGGGCTGAGGTAAACCACAACTTAGTTATTCTGATAGTCCAGAAAAGATGCTGTAAGAGTTTTTCCAAAGAACGTGTGTGTTCTCTCTCGAGTACTTCATTTCTAAAGTAGTTTAGTGAGTGAAAGATGAAGTAGGAATTCGGTACTATTGATATGTAAATGAGAAAGAATAGTGACCCCAGCCTCATTTAAAAGTCATTTGATTTCAAATGGAGAGGAGGCAGAAATGAAAGGAGAAAAGAGATGGTTTGTCTCTGTTGAATCTCCCTGTCTGTGTGATCAATAGAAATGCAATACGCCAACTACCCTTAAGGAAGCGAAACCTAAAACTAAAGAAACTATTGATCTTATCTAAGGTTTTGTTCAACTGAAGGAAGAAGAAAAGAAGGGGGGGAAAAATTATCTAAACTCCTTTTTCATTTTGTCTGGATTGCCCAATTCATTCTTAGAGGAGCAGTGTCTCCATTTGAAACAAAGCTAAAAATGAAACAGCCAATTTTTGCAGGGAGTTCTCCCTCTTGCTTCTGCCACCTTGCAATCCTATGGTCACAGCTAAAAAAATGCAGGAAAAAGAATCAACAACCGCCCAAAAAAGCTGCTGATCATTCTCTGTTCATAAAGGCAGTCTTCGATGCTGATTGTTGGAGCATTTACCCCCCTAACTTACCCTGTGATGTTGATTGCTGCCTCCCTCTTGTGGGATGTAGATCCCCTTCTCACCTTTTGTTTTAAAAGAGTGTGCTGTAAGAAGCTCTGCTGAGTATAGGTACAGTCAGGCACAGTCACGACCCCAAAAGAATCAAACCTCCAGTGACACATGTTGATATTTTCCCAAGTTTCTTGTGTGATTCTTTTTTAAACCTTAATGTGTTTTCGCTGCTACTGTATTCTGTCACGTTACACTATTTCACCATTCTTGGTTCCTTGCTAGCTGGCCAACTAATTAAGATCCTTCAATGGCGTGTTGCATTGTGTTGTTCAATTCATTACTGCATCTATAGTCTTAATGTCTTTAGTGCCGTGGTATACACCTGAGCTCCAAATCATATGTGTTTGTAATATAGAGAATCTAAAAAATTCAGCTTCACGCTCCATGAGTACATACTACTTTGGAAAAGCATTTTCCTTGGCACGTTGTCCCTGGTGGAGGAGATGGAGTATTTACGGAAATAGATTTTAGCTTCTTGCTTCGAAGGGATTCTAAACAACAAGGAGTAACAAATGAGTTTTAAAATTATTGCCGATATCTTGAAAGTGCCCTTTGCAAATGATTTTACTGGTGATATGGATCCCTCTTTGAAGAAAGCCTTTGGGAGAGCTGAGAAAAAATGGTGGGTTTTTTTTCCCTGTTCAGTTTAATGCTTTTAAGTCAGAGGAATTGAATACCCACAATTTTCTCATCAGACTTGATTAGAGGGAAAAGCCATCCCTTTGCAGAGAAGATGGAAGAAGAGAGATCAGCACCAAACAGCATGGCTGTGCAGTCCAAAATGTCTTTGTTGAACAAAAGTGACGAGAGTAAGTCTAATGGGAAGATCTGATGTTATCCATCCCCTTTAACCTGGCTAGCATGGGCTGAATTATTTAAAATGAGTGATGAACTAATTTTAAAATGAGTGATAAAACTCCCATGCTTCATCATAGAAGCGTAGCTAAAGCAATATGCAAGATGGAAGGCTTTCTTGTCCAGCTAGAGGTGGACTTCTCTGGTTTGACCTGTTTCTGCTCAAATTACCCAACCTGTTACCAATGTATGATTTGTCCACTGAGTTACAGCTCTATTTCTTTATAGTTATCTCTAGGCTATGAAATATTTTCTTCATCTTTCTTACTATTAAAGATTTCTTACCAAATTTCTGCAAGGAACATTTATTTATGCTTTATTCATGAGCGGTTTATTACTGTTAATAGTCAGAAATTGAGTTGTTTTGATGGAGTTTGCAGATCACATGATACTGCTTCTGTTCTCCACTAAGATATATATTGGTTTTGTAATTGGAAATCTGGTGCACAAGCTTACAAATAATTTTAATTTGTCCTCTTTCCAGGGTTCAGCCACCAGCAAAAATGGTTTCAGCAATATTCCTGTCAC